CGCATGCCTGCTGGAAGTCCAAGCCCCTCGCACACAAAACCTCCTTTACCCCTCCCTCCAACCTTTCCTAGGCCGACCCCTTACCCCGCCTTCCTTCCACTACAGACTGATACACTCTTGAAGTCATTCTGTTTCGCTCCATTCTCTCTACATGTCCGAACCACCTCAACACCCTTCCTCAGCCCTCTGGACAACAGTTTTGGTAATCCCGCACCTCTCCTAACTCCAAACTACGAACTCTCGATCAAGATCGTAATGACTCTATGACCGGTTCAATCCGCGGGGGTATGGTCGAATTCTCGCATAATTCACACCACACATTGCCCTCAGACATGACATCTCCACTGCCTCCAGCCTTCTCCTCGCTGCAACATTCATCACCCATGCTTCACACCCATATAAGAGCGTTGGTAAAACTATACTCTCATACATTCCCCTCTTTGCCTCCAAGGATAAGTTCTTTGTCTCCACAGACTCCTAAGTGCACCACTCACTCTTTTTCCCTCATCAATTCTATGATTCACCTCATCTTTCATAGACCCATCTGCTGACACGTCCACCCAAATATCTGAATACGTTCACCTCCTCCATACTCTCTCCCTCCAATCTGATATTCAATCTTTCATCACCTAATCTTTTTGTTATCCTCATAACCTTACTCTTTCCTGTATTCACCTTTAATTTTCTTCTTTTGCACACCCTACCAAATTCATCCACCAATCTCTGAACTTCTCTTCAGAATCTCCCAAGAGCACAGTGTTCATCAGCAAGAGCAGCTGTGACAACTCCCACTTTGTGTGTGATTCTTATCTTTTAACTCCACGCCTCTGGCCAAGACCCTCGCATTTACTTCTCTTACAACCCCATCTATAAATATATTAAACAAGCACAGTGGCATCACACATCCTTGTTTAAGGCCTACTTTTACTGGGAAAAAATTTCCCTCTTTCCTACATACTCTAACTTGAGCCTCACTATCCTCGTAAAAACTCTTCACTGCTTTCAGTAACCTACCTCCTACACCATACACTTGCAACATCTGCCACATTGCCCCCCTATCCACCCTGTCATACGCCTTTTCCAAATCCATAAATGCCACAAAGACCTCTTTAGCCTTATCTAAATACTGTTCACTTATATGTTTCACTGTAAACACCTGGTCCACACACCCCCTACCTTTCCTAAAGCCTCCTTGTTCATCTGCTATCCTATTTCCGTCTTACTCTTATATTCTTTCAATTATAACTCTACCATACACTTTACCAGGTATACTCAACAGACTTATCCCCCTATAATTTTTGCACTCTCTTTTATCCCCTTTGCCTTTATACAAAGGAACTATGCATGCTCTCTGCCAATCCCTAGGTACCTTACCTTCTTCCATACATTTATTAAAAAAAATTGCCCCAACCACTCCAAAACTATACCCCCACCTCTTTTAACATTTCAAATCTTTATCCCATCAATCCCAGTCCCTTTAAACCCCTTTCATTTTCCCTACTCCCCTCACGAATTTCCCCCAAAATCAAAATGGCTCTTCTCACTCCCTAAAAATTTTGTTTTTCCCTTTCCTTCCCCCTATACCCCAAAAATAAACAGCTTCCCTATTTTAAACCCAACTTTAAAAATTTTCCTCAAAATTTCCCCCCATCCCCCCAAATACCTTTTAAACCCCCAAATTTAAAAACTTCCCTCCATTTTTAACTGAAAAAATCCATTTGTTCCTAGGCTTTCTTAATTTTTAAATTTCTCATTTCCAAAAATTTTTTTCTTTTTTTTCCCCCCCCCAAAATTTTGTTGTTAAAAATCTCACCCACTTTTCTAAATTTGCTCTTTTTTTACTTTGCTTCCCCCAAACTTTTTAAACCCTCTTTTTTTTTCCTTCCCATTCCCTTTTCCCCCCTTGCATCATTCCCATTTTGGGTAAAAATTTTCTCATTACTAATTTTTTTTCCCCCTTACTACTCTCTTTACATCATAAATTCCCCCAATCGCTCCTTTTCCCCTCCTGCACCCATTTCCCCCTGTAACCAAAAAAATTTTCTGCAAAAACACTAACATTTACTTTTTTTTAAACCTACCCCTTACCTTCACCCCTTTGGGCCTATGCCTCATTAGCCCATCTATCCTCCAATAGCTTTTTTAATTTACCCTAACTGCCTCCTTTTTATTTTATAAAACCTTCACCTTTTCTTTTCCCCTGATGCTTTCTATTCTTTTTGTATCCCATCCCCTTTTACTCTCAGGGGTAGCTACAACTAGAAAGGATTTGATATATCTGTGGCCCCTTTTAAAAACATGTACACCCTGAAGTCATCAACGGTCTTTTTATCTACCAATACATAACCAACAAACAAAGTCATTTCGCCCTCCCATCTATCTTGTATCCCTTTTTTACCCTTTTTTTTTCAAAAAAATTTTAAATTCCCTATAACTAAACCCCTTTCTAACAAATTTCAATCAAAGGGCTCCCATTATCTTTTTAACCCGGGCCCCCCCAAACTTACCTACCACAAAACCCTTTTTTTTTCCCCTTAAAAATTTTCCCTTTTTACTTTCAAAGGCCCCCTTTACCAAAAAACACCTAATTTGGTTCAAAGGCCCATTTTTCCCCTTTTTGGGGGAAAAAAGGGCAAATTTCCCAATTTTCGTTTTTTTAAAAAAACCCTCCCCAAAAAAAATTTTTCTAAATTTTTTGGGGTTGAATCAAGGGGCCAAAAGGGGGTTTACCTTTCCGGGGGGGGGAAATATTTTTCCTCCCAAAAACTAGGGGCGGGGGGGGGGGGGGGGGGGCCCTTGGGGGAACCTTTTGGGTGTGGGGGTTGGTTTGGGAAGGGGGGGGTTCCCGAAGAACAATGTAAAAAATTGGGGACCGTAAAGATTTCCCCCTCAAAAAAACCTTATCGTTATTTCACAAAAAAAAAATTTTTGTTAGTACCCGGGAATATGGCAAAAAAATCTGCCCTTTACTCCCACAAAAACCCCCAAAGTATTTGGAATTTTTCCCAAAAATTCTAGGTTTCAAAATAAAAGAAATAAATTTTTTCTACAATATCGTGAATATTATTCCTTTTAAATTTAAAGTAAAAAAAGGACCCACATCAAATTTTTGGGTTTGAATAAGTTATTTCCGAGATATGGGCCGGGAACGGGGCCCGGGCCCCCGTCTAAAAAAAAAAAAAAATTTTTTTCGCGAAAATCGCGTTTTTTTTGGGTGTATTTTTTAGAAAACTGATTTTTCTAGTGCAGTTAGCCTCTAAAAAACCCCTTTTCCCCCTTTTAATCAAGACGAAAAGGGTGACCATTACACTTTTATATCGAAATTTTCCCGAAATCTCTGGGCCATTTTTATGGCCTTTTTATTCAGTCCCAAGTAAAAAACATGTTTGTATGTTATTTAGAGTGTTTATTATATCATATTTGGGTTTAATTTTGATAAAACAAATTAAAACCGTAGAAATTGATATATAAAACTGATAAAGGCCCCAAATAAAAGGGTGATTCCTGGGTGGCCCCCTCGGGGGCAAAGGGAAAACTGCTGACCGGGCCCCTTGGTTTCCCCGGGAGTCATAAGTCTGCCGATAATTTCCCCCTAAATGTTTTAAGGTTTCCAAAAAGTCAGGGTTTTTTATATTAGAAAGAAAAATGCAAGAAAAAAGGGGATAAAAAAAAAAAAGAAAATAACCCTCAAAAAAAAAATATAGGCCGTGGCAATCCCGGGACCAACCCTCCCCCGTACCTACCTGATATAAATGAATAAAATTTCTTGTGGGAAAAGTCCCTAGAAAATTCATTCTGGTTTCCTTTTGTTGCCAAAGAGGTTTTTGCTATTTTTCAGTATATAAAAACTCAATTTCCCTATTTTTTCGATTTTTTAAGGGGTTTTTGGAAGAAGGGCGCGGAAAATTGCCCCCTGCCCCCCTTTAAATTCCCCAAAAACTCTCTCTCTCCCCCCTGCATTTCCCCTCTTCTCCGGGGCAAACAGCTTAAAAAAAAAAACCCCCTTCTCGCAAACAACCTTTTTCTTTAATCCCAAAATTTTTGAATTTCACATTTTATATTCTCTTTTCTCCTTCCATAACTGACATTTTAACCTTACTGCTTTCCCCTTCCTTTGCTCCCAACCTCCCCAGATACTCCAGATTTAAAACCCATTTTTTCCCCCCCCCCTGAAAAATCCCCCCCTTTCAGCTTTTGTTTTGCTTAGGGGCCCGGACATTTTAAAAATTTTTTTCATTCATAACTTTACAATCATCTGTTTCTGGGCATCCGGGACTACTTTCCCCGAAAATTTAAGCCCTCCCAGTTTTTTTTAAAATTTTTTTTCTTTTCTTTTTTTGAAATGTCCACAGGAGAAGGGGGGGTTTCTGCCCATTGCCCCGGCATTTTTGTCCGCCCATACGACATGGCCCTGGTTTACGGAGGAAAGATTCTTTTCCCCTTCCCCATTTGGGCAATAGAAGAAAAAAAAGAACAACAAGAGCTATTTTGAAAAAGGGGAAAAACCTAGATGTATTTATATAATTTCTTTTGCGTGTCTTGAAGTGTGACCCAAAATGTAAGTAGGGTAGGGAAGGGAAACCCTGTTTTTTTAAACGGGTTTTTGAGACAGAAAAAGGAAAAACCGCAATCCTTCCCTCATGGGAAAACCGTTTTCAGGTTTTTGTTTTTACAGTCATCTGGCAGGAAGGTAGTATTCCCCGGGTGGTTGCCCGTCCCACCAAAACCCCTTCCTTATTAACTTTCCTGTTTTTTATATGTTTCCAATTTATACATTTTTTGCTTTGCTATCTTCTCCTAAAAAAATGACTTCCCCCAGAAGGAAAGGACCTGTGCATTTCAGTTCTCATTCAAAGACCCTGTTCAGCAGACTGAAGCAGACGTACACAAATCCTTTCCACTCATTTTAAATTTTCCATCCACATGGGATTTACCTTTTCATTGTTCATTAATTTAATGACAACTTCCCCCCAATTTTTTTAACTAAGAAAAATACACACCTGACTTTTTTTGAAGTCCATGATGGTTTGTACCTCATATTCTGCCTCCTGCTCCTTTGTACTGGATTCCTCTGAAATACTTTTCATTTTATTTTGTGCTGTTACGTATTCATCCATCAGGCTCCTCCTAGGTCTTTTTGGTATAACTGCATTATCTCCCAAAAATTTCTTCCTACCTCTTTTCTTCTCTGATGAACTTAATTTCTTTTTAACATCTACAACCTTTACATTGCCTTCCTGGACGAGAGCACTACCCAAGACTTCATCATCATTGCCTGCCTCAGATACAGGAGGAGTGATGCTTTCAGTCTCAGTCCCCTTCACCAGCACATCTGAAATTTTTTTAATATTTTGGTGGACATTCAAATCTTGCATGTAGAAAAACCAAAGCCTCAACATTAAGTCATATTCCTAGTTGTGAATGTTACATATATTTGCAACATGTGTAAAGGATTGTGAATTATGATGTCAGTGCACTTCTGGCAACACAGCTATGGAATGAATGATAGTCAAAGTTTCCTTTTGTTAGTCATTCTACCATGATGGGAGACTGATGATATGGTTTTAAAAATGCAACAAATTTAGATACAATTAAGAGAAATATTATACACAATAAATTGTATTTGTACAGTGTTTTTTTTTTTCAACAAGTCGGCCGTCTCCCACCGAGGCAGGGTGACCCAAAAAAGAAAGAAAATCCCCAAAAAGAAAATACTTTCATCATCATTCAACACTTTCACCACACTCGCACATTATCACTGTTTTTTGCAGAGGTGCTCAGAATACAACAGTCTAGAAGCATACACATATAAAGATACACAACATATCCCTCCAAACTGCCAATATCCCAAACCCCTCCTTTAAAGTGCAGGCATTGTACTTCCCATTTCCAGGACTCAAGTCCGACTATATGAAAATAACCGGTTTCCCTGAATCCCTTCACTAAATATTACCCTGCTCACACTCCAACAGATCGTCAGGTCCCAAGTACCATTTGTCTCCATTCACTCCTATCTAACACGCTCATGCACGCTTGCTGGAAGTCCAAGCCCCTTGCGCACAAAACCTCCTTTACCCCCTCTCTCCAACCCTTTCGAGGACGACCCCTACCCCCGCCTTCCTTCCCCTATAGATTTATATGCATTCCATGTCATTCTACTTTGATCCATTCTCTCTAAATGACCAAACCACCTCAACAACCCCTCTTCTGCCCTCTGACTAATGCTTTTATTAACTCCACACCTCCTAATTTCCACACTCCGAATTTTCTGCATAATATTTACAGCACACATTGCCCTTAAACAGGACATCTCCACTGCCTCCAACCGTCTCCTCGCTGCTGCATTTACCACCCAACCTTCACACCCATATAAGACTGTTGGTAATACTATACTTTCATACATTCCCTTCTTTGCCTCCATAGATAACGTTTTTTGACTCCAGATATACCTCAACGCACCACTCACCTTTTTTCCCTCATCAATTCTATAATTAACCTCATCCTTCATAAATCCATCCACCGACACGTCAACTCCCAAGTATCTGAAAACATTCACTTCTTCCATACTACTCCTCCCCAATTTGATATCCAATTTTTCTTTATCTAAATCATTTGATACCCTCATCACCTTACTCTTTTCTATGTTCGCTTTCAACTTTCTATCTTCACACACATTCCCAAACTCATCCACTAACCTTTGCAATTTTTCTTTAGAATCTCCCATAAGCACAGTATCATCAGCAAAAAGTAACTGTGTCAATTCCCATTTTGAATTTGATTCCCCAAAATTTAATCCCACCCCTCTCCCGAACACCCTAGCATTTACTTCCTTTACAACCCCATCTATAAATATATTAAACAACCATGGTGACATTACACATCCCTGTCTAAGACCTACTTTTACCGGGAAGTAGTCTCCCTCTCTTCTACACACCCTAACCTGAGCCTCACTATCCTCATAAAAACTCTTTACAGCATTTAATAACTTACCACCTATTCCATATACTTGCAACATCTGCCACATTGCTCCTCTATCCACTCTATCATATGCCTTTTCTAAATCCATAAATGCAATAAAAACTTCCCTACCTTTATCTAAATACTGTTCACATATATGCTTCAATGTAAACACTTGATCTACACATCCCCTACCCACTCTGAAACCTCCTTGCTCATCCGCAATCCTACATTCTGTCTTACCTCTAATTCTTTCAATTATAACCCTACCGTACACTTTTCCTGGTATACTCAGTAAACTTATTCCTCTATAATTTTTACAGTCTCTTTTGGCCCCTTTCCCTTTATATAAAGGGACTATACATGCTCTCTGCCAATCCCTAGGTACCTTCCCCTCTTTATACATTTATTAAACAAAAGTACCAACCACTCCAACACTATATCCCCCCTGCTTTTAACATTTCTGTCATGATCCCATCAGTTCCAGCTGCTTTACCCCCTTTCATTCTACGTAATGCCTCACGTACCTCCCCCACACTTACATTCTGCTCTTCTTCACTCCTAAAAGATGGTATACCTCCCTGACCAGTGCATGAAATTACCGCCTCCCTTTCTTCCTCAACATTTAAAAGTTCCTCAAAATATTCTTGCCATCTACCTAATACCTCCCTCTCCCCATCTACTAACTCCCCTACTCTGTTTTTAACTGACAAATCCATACTTTCCCTAGGCTTTCTTAACTTGTTTAACTCACTCCAAATTTTTTTCTTATTTTCATTAAAATTTCTTGACAGTGCCTCTCCCACTCTATCATCTGCTCTCCTTTTGTACAGTATATAGAGACAAAAATACAAAACAGACAAGAGTATAAATATACACAAAACTACCCACAACGTACACCTCTTCCCTTGATCTGCACTGGGGAAGCATTCCTTAAAAATAGCTTTCTCTGAGAAAACTTGTATACCTTTACCTTTGATGGGTTTTGAGTTTTCCTACTCGTGAAGCCCAGCCCTGGGCCAGGCTTGTTTTGAGCTTGCCTGTTAAACCAGGCTACTATTACTGGCGCCCTGCTGGCCCACATATCCATCACAGCTTAGATGATATATCACTTGGTAGCAAAAACTGTTGAGTTTTCTCTTAAAGACCTCTACACTTGCTCCAGCTGTTTCTGATATCCTTTGGTAAGATGCTAAGGAGTCTGGTACCATGGATATTGATAGTGTTCATTACTGTGTCTACAATGCCTCTGCCATTCACTGACTATTCTGAACATTATCCTTTTTCTCTTACTCCAGTATGTTATAGACATGTGCAGATTTAGGACCAGGCCCTCAAGCACCTTTCACGCATATATTATTGTGCATCCCTCTCTACCCCACTACAAGTACCTACTGAAGATAATGAAGCATTCCTAATAACTTAAAATGCTGTAATGGCTTTATGCAAGCCTTAAATGATCAATGAATCTGTTCCAGCTCTAATATCTCTCCTTTCCTGAATGGAACTGTCAACACTGAACAATACTCTAAAGCAAAAAAGCACAAGCAATTTTAACAGTGTCACCAATGGCACCACCTCCCTTATTTTCAAAGTTTTCATTATCGTCTAATCACTTTCCTTGCCATCGTGACATTTTTCTAATATTAATTACAGCCATTACACTTACAAAGTTTCTCAATACACTGTACAGTGCAAATTTTTTATAAATGCGATTAAAAAGAATGTATGTATTTGTACGTATATCAAAAACTGAACAACACATGGCAAGGCCTTCATAATATACGCTATTCAATTTCAGATATACTGTACTTTTTCAACCGAATTTATGAAAAATTGTACTACGCAGAGGAGCTTCACGAGAGCTGACTGTATAATTTGGAGCTTCATGAGAGCTGACTGTATAATTTGGAGCTTCATGAGAGTTGACTGTATAATCTGGAGCTTCATGAGAGCAACTGTATAATTTGGAGCTTCGTGAGAGCTGACTGTATAATTTGGAGCTTCACGAGAGCAACTGTATAATCTGGAGCATCGTGAGAGCTGACTATAATTTGGAGCTTCATGAGAGCTGACTGTATAATTTGGAGCTTCATGAGAGCTGACTGTATAATATGGAGCTTCATGAAACTGACTGTATAATCAAACAATACAGAAGCATTTCAAAACTATCCCACCGTTTAGCCCTTTGACTGTGGCAAACCCCTTTCTGCAACTGTCATTCTATGTCGCAAAATTTTTGGAAAAATAAAAAATTATTTCTTCTTATGAAATGATAGAGAATCTTTTCCCGATGGTAATGACACCAAAAGTACGAAATTTGGTCAAAAACTCACGGAATTATGCTCCCCCGAAGTTAGCGGTCTCAGCGACATATACGCATCAGCGATTTCGCTGGCTTTGATCTCTGTTTTTGGCCAATTCTGTTGTTCCAGTTGACCAAACTCATAGCTATTTCTTTAGAACTTTATTTTTTCTATCCGTTGAGTACAAGAAACTGCCCATTTAGCGATTGAACTACCCAATAAAGTAGTCAGAAATTGGCAATTTGGCCAATTTCACGCAAATTAAAAAAGATGCCAATTTCAAAATAGGGTCCAGAATAAACAATGTAGACATTCTTGGCACTAAAATAACATATCCTCTGTTCATTAGTCACATCTCTAAGCCCCTCTTATATTACTATTGCTTTCTATTTTTATTTTTTATTCATACAAAAAATACAAAATTTACTGTTATGCAGACTACTGCATTATTGTAAAAATGGTATAAATAATATCAGTGCACTAGTGAAAGAATATCAGACTCCCCAGCTGACGTGTATTGGACGTGTGGTGTAATTTGCTTACTCCTGAACACTGGTAAAAATCGAACATTTCCGCTACTTTGAGCTAAATTTCAAGGTCGTTTTCATCATGAAACTAATCAAAATCATCTTTATTTCTGTAACATGTTTTCCATTTTATCACCTGAGACCATGAAAACGAGAATACAACGATAAATACTATACGAAAATACACCTCAAAGTCGGAGTTTTAATCCAAAAAACTGGTCAGTTTTTTTCTCATTATGCACTGCGTGCTGCAGGATTTTTTTTATGTGGTGCACACTGACCACACAGACCCATTCTCTCACATGTGTGCCTACCAGCTTTCTCCTGCTTGATTTGAAGCCGCTTGACTTTATGTGTATTAATATGTCCGAAACACTGGCTCGTAAGACGTATATATACGACCAATACAGTCAAAAGGTTAAGGCAGCATTTCTCAACCTTTTTAACCTTGTGGAACCCTTGAAATAATTTTTGTCTCAGGCAACCCCCCTATATAAAAATTATTACATATCATCATTAATATCTTTCCTACTCTTTTAAAA